GAGAATTCTGACTTGGTACTTGGTACAACACATAACATAAGCTAATAACCGACGAAGGATAGAACAGAATCAGGACTATAAGTACACACAAGGTAAATGAGGGAAATAAGCAGGAACAGCTGGACAAGGATTAACTAATCAGAAACCATGGTAACTAATGAGAGCTCATTACAGACATGACAGAAACTGAACTAAACTGAACATAATCGTGACAGCTATACAATAACAACACATATCGATAAATTAAAATACAAAATATCTAATATCCAATAGCCAATAACCAATGGTACTATTATATTGTTCAAGTGCTAATGCAATGCAGCATTATAGCATCATACCAGCCTTTCATGACAAAATATACTATGCATTTATAATTTATTATAAAATCATAAATCATTCATTTTATAACACTGTTTTTGCTATTGAAATTTCTGTGTAAATTTATTTTTCTCAACTTTTCACAGTGCACTGTTTCAAAGCTATCCTTAAAGAAAGTAATGATTTTAATGTTTATAATATCTTAATATGCTCATGCCTTATAGTTGCATTTAGTATATTAGAGCTTTTAGATAATATACTACATTTACATATTATACATATGCAATGATGCAAGCAATCAAGCAGTTGAGATATGCTATACTGTATATGCAAGTATTCTACTTACATATATATATATATATATAAGTTTATATGAAGAGCTGGGCGATAATATAGTAACATTGTGCAACAAAATAAAAAAAAATGTTGCCTATCTGCAGCATTGAAAGTCTGTAAATGCATTTTCAGATGCAGCTTCTACATTTGCAGTGTAAAGAGGGCAGTAGATTCACAACACATAAACAAACAGTCCAGAGCTCAAGTTCTCACAGTAAGCTTTGCAACACAATGAAAACATGAATCTGCTCAAAGAGGAAGATTCCACTCCACAGTTGTTTTTTCACATGCAGACACATGTGCCTCACTGGCCATTAGAACAGCATGTGGTCAATGCGATCGGCCACCACTGGGATCCAATCAGATAAATGTCCACTCACATACACTCTCACTCGCACATACTGGAGGAACATCAATAATCTGGATTCACAAGCAGTACATCATAGACATGAAGGGGTACATGACATATCTGATGAGTTTTGTGGAAATGTCACAACCTGGGCAAGAAAACCGTATCCTCTGTGCACAGCAACAACCTCAAGTAGTGGCTAATGCCGTCTTCCACTAAAAGAGCCTGTTGAACATTGCCTGGTTCTTTCATTTGTCTGTTTGTTTAGAGCTGTTGCCTCCATCTCCTTCAATCTCTTGGCAGTTTAGTGTTTGAGAGCCATTGCGCCTTCCAATTGGTGCACTTTCTGGGGTTGCCTTGGTAACCCTCTTTGGAAATATTCTTTGGTGTTATGCCATAAGGTTTGGTTGGATGAACATATGTATATATAGCATTAATCCGAAAATGACCGCATTTTCAAATAAGGTTTTGCATTTTATCAACCCATTCTGTTCCCTGCAATCATATGACTAGATTTGACAGGAATTGAAAATGAGCATATGGCACTGCAACACCTGACAGCCAGCCAGAGGTGTGACTTCTCTCTGAAAAGAAATCCATCAGCTTGTAGTTTAATTTACATGTATATGCCAAAAACCCAGGATGAGATGGTCTGGAGTTATATTAGCACCAATTTAAAGGCCATTTTTTAATGTTCTGTTCAATCAATTAAATATCTATATTAAAATGCACTAAATATTTTTTAAAGAAGGCTGAAAATGTATCTTTTTACTCATGCTTTTAAATATCAAATGTTTTTTTTTTATTATTACGTATTACTTTTATTACTACGTTTTAATTTCCATCTTGTGTTATGCATTTTGTTTAAATACAAGTATTTTACTATCATTATAAAGTGGGTTTTATCTAATATTATATTAATTAAGATATTTACATTTTAATCATGTTTATTTGTATTCATGTGAACACACATAAATTAATTATTTAATAATACATTTAAAAATTATATACATTATTGTATAAAAATTCTATTATAAATTTAATTATAATTATATAAATTATTATATAAAATGATACACATTTCAAACTTTATTTTTTTATTTCAACTTTAACCTTGACTGTTTTTTACTCGTTTTAATTTTTTTTTAAAAGTTGTTTAAAGTAGATTACAAATAAAAAAAAGAAAATTGGTTATTATATATATTATAAATTATAACAGTAACTACTGTGCTTGTGTTTTTTACTGTAAATCACTTTAAGCTTTCACTTTGAATTTCTTGTATAATAAGTGCTAGACAAATAAAATTTATTATTAAAATAGGATAAATGAAAGGTGTTTGTCATAAAATCTAATATGAGAAGCATAATATGCATCCTAATAACTATCTCAAAATAATTTCGCAAACAATCCCAAGGTCATTTTATGAAATTGTTGCGACATTGGTCTGTGGTGCAATAAAACAATATTTAGTTTCATGCATTCTTTTTTTGGACTCACAGCTCAGATGTCTCAAATGTGCTCATAAAAGCAATTTGATCTAGTGCAATAAAACTCTAAAGAGATCAGAAACTGATAATATAATCACCAAGGGGGGCGAAGGAGGAGGCGGCGAGAGATTAAGGATGTAAGACTAGAACTCCTCACTCTTTGACTTGAATTGGTGCTAACGTCCCTGTTATTTGCTTTGCTCTTTGCTGGCTGATCTGACCAGTGGAGTGAGGAACCGTGAACTTTAATATTATATAACAAGAGACACGCGCACACACAAATATACAATCCAGGCCTGCAGCGTACAATCTTACACTATAATAACTCACTTGTTTATGTAAAACAACATCAGGCCAGATTACCCCCGTGTGTATTTGGCCGCAGCAGTGCTAATGCTGATCACAATTCTGATCAGAGATTGCAGGTGACAGATGACCCACTCAGGAATTAGAGAATGAACCAGTCTATGTAAACTTCCCTGTCCACACCCATCTGCGGCAAGAGTAAAAATGCGAAACTCAATACCGTAATTACTGTGATTCCCCTGGCGTGAAACAGCTGTCTGCTCCTGTGCTGTTTCTGCTGACAAACATCCATTAGCTGCTGATGTCTGATGTCTCAGAGGCCTTGATACAAAAGCCTTGTTCAATTATTTTGAGAAAATTTTTCCAAAACTAACAACTCAATAAAATCTTGAACTGGAGTCAACATAAGTGAGTATCTGCTAATGGGGCCAACGAGGGACATCCATCCAGAAGTCCGTCAGACTCCTAATGCTTGACTAAAGTGACAGCATACGTGAGTTGAGCAATAATCATTCAGAGGAGATACAAAGCTGAACATCACAAACTGATCCATACTAATGTACAGGTGCATCTCAATAAATTAGAATGTCGTGGAAAAGTTCATTTATTTCAGTAATTCAACTCAAATTGTGAAACTCGTGTATTAAATAAATTCAATGCACACAAACTGAAGTAGTTTAAGTCTTTGGTTCTTTTAATTGTGATGATTTTGGCTCACATTTAACAAAAACCCACCAATTCACTATCTCAACAAATTAGAATATGGTGACATGCCAATCAGCTAATCAATTCAAAACACCTGCAAAGGTTTCCTGAGCCTTCAAAATGGTCTCTCAGTTTGGTTCACTAGGCTACACAATCATGGGGAAGACTGCTGATCTGACAGTTGTCCAGAAGACAATCATTGACACCCTTCACAAGGAGGGTAAGCCACAAACATTCATTGCCAAAGAAGCTGGCTGTTCACAGAGTGCTGTATCCAAGCATGTTAACAGAAAGTTGAGTGGAAGGAAAAAGTGTGGAAGAAAAAGATGCACAACCAACCGAGAGAACCGCAGCCTTATGAGGATTGTCAAGCAAAATCGATTCAAGAATTTGAGTGAACTTCACAAGGAAGGGACTGAGGCTGGGGTCAAGGCATCAAGAGCCACCACACACAGACGTGTCAAGGAATTTGGCTACAGTTGTCGTATACCTCTTGTTAAGCCACTCCCTATCCACAGACAACGTCAGAGGCGTCTTACCTGGGCTAAGGAGAAGACAGGTAAACACAAGACTGGAATTTGCTTTCCTCATAGCAACAGTTTGGCAAATAATACTAAATAAATCTAACTGCAAAATAGCATATTATAAAATTGTTTAGATGCAGCCATGTATGAAACATACCCACCTATCCACCATACCATTCAAAAGTTGGGTCAGTGCTTTCTAAAATAATTTTATCTTATGCTCATCAAGACTGTATTTGTTGAATCAAAAAACACAGTATAAGGTAATATTGTGTAATATTTTTACAATTTAAAATAATTGATTTTAATATATTTTAAAATGTAATTTACTCCTGTTACGACAAAGCTGAATTTTCAGCAGTCATTACTCTAGACTACAATGTCACATGATCCTTCAGAAATCATTCTAATATGCTGATTTGTTGCTCATGTAACATTTCTTATGATCACTGTTAAAAACAGTTGAAATAGAATTCTTTCAAATGTCACTTTGATTGTTTTAATGTGTCCTTGCTCAATAAAAGTATAATTTCTTTAATACGTCTAAACGTCTCCTAATGCGCCCTACAGTAGCCTACAATAATAAACCATATATATATATATATATATACACACACACACACACACTCACACTCACATATAGGCCTATAGCTACTTACTATAAAAACCTGTGGTAGGTTACTATACAACATCACAGCCTAGGATTGTGTTATCACTGATCTATATAAATGGCTCGGCTTCACTTTCATGACGTCATGAGCAATCCAATTCTCTATTATAGGTCAGTGGTTACTATGCAGGAGTTATGGTAAACATACTAGATGAGATACAGTGAAAGATGTCAAGTATAGTGCTGACTGTGTTTCATCACAACAAAAGGCAATGTTGTATTGTTGGATAACAACAGACGTTTAGCAATAAAAGTTGTTATTTACCACACCTTAAGTTTCGGTTCCACTTTCGGTTTAGGATAAGTGAAAATATAAACCCCAACACAGTAACCCAGTCATCTCACTCTAACTATGGACGAAGAAGAACTGATTTTATGTACTCACTGGTAAGTGTTTTATAATGTAGCCTACTGTAATTATACTAACGCACAGAGTTTCGGTACGACGTATATTTGTGTTCACTGCCAACGTATGTAAACAAATGACAGTGTTCGTCGAGTGTAAGATCACTGACATATGAATATCTGTCTACTGTAGCAACAACAAAATAGGCTATCGAAAACAAAACATATTCTACTTAATCAACAATACTCAACAATAATGACTAGCCTATTACCTTGTTGTCGATAACCTGATTTAAACAAAGTGAAACTATGGGACACGGGGCCCGTTCTTCATACGTCGCTAACTCAGTTAGCTGGATTTGATTGTTGACGATTTGGCATTATCTTGTATTATTTGGTTCTTCTAAGCTCGTCCTGGACTTGCTGTCATAGCAACAAGTCTGTAAACTTTAACCTGCTCGGGAGCAGGTTTATTTCAAACAGGATTAGATTGCATCTTTTTAAGTGGAACTGATATTTAAAATCTATCCCAGCCACTGCTACCTTATTACAAGAGTAATTTACCCTACTAATCCGGGGACAATCATTTATAATAATAATAATTTAAAATTTAATTTGAAAATAATATTATAGCCTAATGTTGTGTAATCTATAGACACAGACAGTTTTACTCATTGAAAGATTTATTCGTGATAACATAATAACTTTATAATTGTATTCGAGTTTTACACATGCTGTACAGCTAATCTGAGTTGTGCATTAATTTGAGTGCTGACAGCTATTATGGGAGTGGCTTGATGGAGCGCAGGAGATGCAGATAACATGATCTTGACCTTTAAGAAACTTTAATTAATGCTGTCACATAACAAATCTGCTTCAAAGATAACATTACATGAATTGCTAATTACAACATTGAACTAAAAATGTAAAGCCTGTACAAATACTAGTAATCGTGAATATAAATAATTGGGAATCATGTAAAAAGATTTTTCCAAAAATATTTTGTGTTACACAGAAAAAAACAAAAGCATACAGGATTGGAACAGCATGCTGGTGTGTAAATAATGCCAGAATTAAAATTTTTTGGGTGAACTGTTCCTCGAAGTGCCATAACATTGTAGTGTCACAACACCTTTTACATTCTCCAGTCTCTGTAAAGAGTCTCTCCAATGTTTTCACGCAGCAATAAAGAGGTGGCGAAGGAAAACTATGACCTGCACGAACCACACTGTAAGAGGTTTCTGTGCATATGCCCTGACTGCGATGAAACTGTGCCTCGAGATCAGCTGGAGCAGCATAAAACCGAACAGCACACAGAGGTCACGACCACACCACTCAACACTGGTTAACACTTTGCTGATTTTTACAGGTCCTTGGCCCTGTATGTCACAAAAGATTATTTGGGATGAATTTCCCAGCTAAATGTTTTCCACTTGACATGCTTATTACTCATCACTGTAATCTCCCCCTCTGAGAAACCATGTCAGTGGCCTCATTTTTCCTTATGTCTCACAGGTAAAATGTAAGATGTGCAATAAAAAGATGGAGAGAAGGCATCTATTGGATCATGAGGTGAATATTCAGTCTCGCACTGTGAAAATTTGATGTCTGAGGCTGCTCTCTTTTAGAGTGTTTTCACACTTATTCCTTTGTTGTTTCTGTCTCTCCTTGTTTACAGAAAGATGAGTGCACTGAGAGGCCTCTGATCTGTGAGTTTTGTCAGCTTGAGCTTCCTCTGAGCAATCTAAAAGAGCACAAAGTGTCCTGTGGGAGTCGCACGGAGCGCTGCTCTGACTGTGGCCGGTACGTTAAACTGATGGACCAGCTTGAGCACGTTCAGATCTGCTCTACTACCACCCCCACAGCATCAAAGAACCTTGTCCCTGAGGATGATACTTCTGACACATATGGTTAGGAAATGACATGATCAGTTTGAAACATTGTACGTAGATATGTTATAGGTCTTAGTATTGCCAGGTTCTGCATATTTTAAGGTATTCAGACAAATTGTGATTGTAAAATACTGGCATTTGGCATATCTGTTATCTTCAGAGCAGACTATGTTGCAGTGTCAGAATTGTCTGAAATACATTCCCTCAGACAAGCTGAAGGAACACAAGGTAAAATGTGTCAATAAATAAGAATATGTTATAATATGTAATTATGAAGATCTATTTTTAACACCTCAAATCTTTCTGTTATTTTTTATTTTTTTACCAGCTGCTTTGCAAACAGTCCTTACAGTTTGCAGACGTCGAGGACGATGACTCAGAGGAAGAGGATGAAAACCCCAATCCTGGAAATAACAGCACTCCAGACGCTGCAGATTTCTCCTTCTCATCAGTACAAAAGGCGAAGAGAGACAGAAACATTGGCATGGACCTGGATAAGATAAGCACCTGTCCGCTCTGTCACCTGGCTCTTCCTGTAAAGACGCTGGAATGGCATGAGGTACTACTAAATGTTCTGTACATGGTACAGCAGCCTCAGGTTGAATCTGAACAGTAATTTTGTTGTTGATTTAATAAATATCATTAACTTGGTAAATTTACTATACCAAAATAAATACACTATTGTTCAAAACTTCAAAAAGACCATAAAACAGTACATTTAAAACTGTAATTTAGAATAAATGTTTTCTGTATTATCATTTTCAAATTTTGATCAATTTGATATTAATGCTGAAAACAGTTGTGCTGCTTAATATTTCTGTGAAAGCTGTGATAAATTTTTTTCTGGTTCCTTTGATGTATAGAAAGTTCAAAAGAACAGCATTTATTTGAAATAGGAACTTTTTGTAATAATGAAAAAGCAATGTTCCATAAAAAAATTTAAAAAACGTTGGAAAATTGAGCCCAAACCTTTCATCAGTACTGTAATTGATGTAGTATATAATATATACTGTTAATTATGTGTTTATATATTTATTTATATATTTTTTTTCAATTTTATTTTTAAAGAAAAAATGTGAATTACACAGACATCTGAGCATGGCATGATGGCTGGTGAAATCAAAGCTAAATATGTAAGTATACAAATAATATATTATAATGTATCACCAATATAACTTTGCAGTGCAACTGATGAGTTATAATATGTGTATGAATTACCTTTACAGGGTTGCTGGAAACTAAACTCGCCAATCATCGCAAATAAAAATATAAAATATTTTGTTGTGGTATTGAAATATACTGAAACTAACTAAAAACATGTTTACAATGTTTCTTATAATCACTGTATGATTTTAATTAGAAAATAATGGCTCTTTAAAATTTTCATAATAGGCCAGGTGAAGGAAAAATAATGCAAAATGTTTTTGACATCTTGAGTAAGGGTATTTTATGTACATACTTTATTGTTTAATTACTGACTATTTACCCATTTTATGAGGCAGTTATTTGGCTCTTTCATAAATCTGTTGTTTAAACCTTACTGCGTGTTAAATCCAGACAAACCTCAGACCACAGCAAAAAAATAAATAAATAAAGATAACACAACTATTTGTATGAGGTGCATGAAATTATTTAGTGCATAATATATTCTAGACTTTAAACTATTTCTCTCTATGCCAACATCTTCATATCTTTGTTCGAAATACCCTGAGGATTCCGCAGACCATCTACCAGATGAAGAGGATTGTGAAAATAAGGAGAAACATGGCCATTTATTGGGGGAGACCACAAGATGGCATAGTTTCAGTCAGGATGGCCTTTCCTTAACGTCTTAATATTCCTATAGTATCTTTTAATAAATATTACTTGATATGTTTTACTACATTTTAAAATGTATTTTATTGCTCTATTTGTTCATTTGTAATTGAGTAGAATTTTACTACAATTTATTAGAATTTTATTTTTATTTTTTGCCAGTGGTAGTCCTCCTAGTATGTATTATGTGACGAGGTTTGTAAAAAATATAGTTTTTTGAACAACCTGTTCTGCACTTGGAAACAAAAGTGCAAGAGAGACACCTAGTGGATATTTTTGTATTCCTCTTGCGAGAGATCAGTGTTGACTGCAAATTCAAGAATAAACGTTTAGTCATAATCTCATAAGCAACTTGAGCTCTTTTTTTTCTTTTGACAAACCATTATATAAAGTAGAGTATATAAATCTTTGACTCTTCATAAACTTTCATGAATTGCCACTTTAAGTTTAGCAGGTTAGATAAAAATTTGTGATGGACTGTTTAACCATCATACTATTGCAGCATTAACAAGCCTATGTTGTATAACAGTTTGAACTTTCTGTATTTCCTGATAATGATTGCTCTGCTATAGAACAGACATAAAATGACATATGGTAGCCATAACCCTTTATCCTGATTTTCTGTCACACTTAAAAGATTAGTTCACAGGAAATTAATTGATGGACTGGAGTTGTGTGGATTATTGTGACGTTTTATCCGCTATTTGGACTCTCATTCTGACGGCACCCATTCACTGCAGAGGATCCACTGGTGAGCAAGTGATATAATGCTAAATTTCTCAAGGTCTGTTCCAATGAAGAAATAAATTAATCTACAACTTGGATGGCCTGATGTTGAGAAAACCGTCAGCAAATTTTAATTTCCAGGTAAATTATTCCTTTAATCTGAAGGAAGAAAAGCAGTTCAAGTAAAAATCAGTATTATTTTAAATAATATGTTTTATTTCCATCCTTTACATTGGGTTTTAAAGCAGGAGACTTTTTTTTTTTTTTTTTTCTCGGAGATCAAACACAGGTCCATAGGAGCTACAGCTAAGATAATGTGCCTTCAATCAGAATTTAAAATCACATCTGGAGGAAAAATAAAACACAATAATGAGTCTTTGGAAATTCAAGTTAAGAGAAACAATTTAAAACAGACAATGCACCTGGCTAAAAGAACAAACATTTACAGCAGGTAAGCTAAAGAAAGAAAAATCAAATAATAATCAGATTACATAAATTAAAAGCAGCCAATTTAATGGCCACTTTGCAGTATGTTAAAAAGCACCACAAATATAATTATATTAAATTACCAGTCAATTTTTAAAAATTTTTTTTGCCCATTTAAATTACCTGTAAAAGAGCTCACAATTGGTCCAACAGTCTATGAGACCCAGCCATCTACTGAAAATATTCAGTCGGTACATACAAGGAACTCTACAAAGAACCTGTTTTAGATTCTAATGCTTATTATTTTGGTTATTATGTTATAAATAGGGAAATCTTTTAGTCCTGGCAGCTCTATAACTCTTAAAACATTTTCAGAGATTGCCATAAACTCTAGTGTCACTATATCCTCAAGCTTATTGTATTTTCTTTGCTATCAGCATTCACTGTTTGTGTAACTTGCTCCCAAATGTAGCTGTTGAAAGAGCTACAGATGTCCGTTGACCTTGTCCTGCAGGAGAGTCAAGGCGTTGGAGGAGAAGTCACGCAGGACGTGGAGTGTGTCACGCTGCAGCTGTAAGGTGTCGCGTGAAAACTGCTGCTGGGTGTGGACCAATCTCTGCACCGACTCCGCGAGCGATTCCAGTGAGCGAGACAGCGACCCTATCAGCAGTGTGGTGGCCTGCTGTTCCTGCAGGCTGAGCGAGGCACTCTGGGATAAACGCTCCTTCAGACTGCGAGGCTCCACAAGAGCAGGTTGGGGAGGGAGCCGAGCGGGAGCTGAACGTGATGATGAGGCGGCCACTGCAGAAGGTGCAATAAATGTTGGGATACTGGCAGATGAGGGGCCGTTAAATGTTGTGTTGTGATTAGGTTTTTCTCGAACATGGCTTTTCTCAACAATAGGATGGCTGAGGAATCCAGGAATACCAATAGGATTCTGGTTTGGTTGGCTTCTTGGTTCAATAAACTGCATGTTACTGCCTGGAAGGATAAGAAACATGTTAATTTTAGACATTAACATCATATTTGAAAGAGAACGTAGAATTGTTTATTATATAAAATGGATACATAAAACATTATGGTCAATTAACAATAACAGTGTCTATAATAATGGACACAATATGATTTTCAGTAAGATTAAATTTTCTAAAACTAAAAATGTCACTGTGTAAACATCACATAAAAATGTAATAAACTTCTTATATTATATATATATATATATATATATATATATATATATATGTGTGTGTGTGTGTGTGTGTGTTATTTTTCAAGGTATAATCTACATACTTTGAGGTAAAAGTTGTTGTTTTTTCTTTTCAAATATATTTATGAAATAAGTTTTAAGGAGTTTTTCCAAATATAAATTTTTTTATAAATGTAAAAAGCAATAATCGAATAAATATGAATCATCTATTGTCCCAAATACAATATTTTCAAATATTAATAAACAGTTTTAATGAAAAAATTATAACTTAAATCAAATATATAATGCAAATCTTTTATGCCTAACACTAAATAAAGATTATAGTATCACCACCCTGACATATTTGTACTTTGACACAAAATTACATTTTCATTCAGAATTAATTAAAAACATGCTCATCATAAAAGGTGTATTCACGTCACCTAATGTATAAAAGTGACTATATTTTTTAACAAGTTGATATAAGTTGATTGAGATTAAAAAAAATCATGCCACTGAGCCATTAAAAGAATCAAAATGTGTGGCAAGTCTCTGCATTATTTCTTACCTTCCTTTTCTGATGTGTCAGTCTGGACATCTATTAGAGGCACTGATGAATCTATCAATACAATAAAAGTAACACATTTATTACATTTTGAACATTCAAACACTCAGTAATGAATCACCTAACTAATTTAAAAATAAAATAAAAATGGAACTCACCGCCGAACATGACGTGTGCAGGAAGCTCTGTATCACTTTTGCCTGGGATACTAGTGTGGAAGGGAGGTGGCATTGGCAAACCAAACGAATGAGGCCTGCCATTTGCCATGTGTGAGAAGCTGTGTGGTATCTCAGAGAGACCTGGAATATCCTCGTCTTCGTCATCCATTTGGTCATCATTTGCCAAACTGCTCACATTTTTGTTAGGGTTAGACATCTGAAGGATCTGGTGTACCATAGTTTCTATAGGTGACAGCTCTTGTGCGATTTGGGCGGCCGTGGCTCCCGATGCCCTCATGGCGGCCACCCTCCGCTTGGTGTCGCATTTGAGGTCTGCCCATTTCTTAATGACTTCAATAATTTCTCGATGACACTCACTGACCTCATTGATACGTGCTGTCACATCAGCCCATGTGCGGTTTTTCAGATCCTTCGAAATGCCCCGGTTGAACTTTCCTGTTAAAACCGTGAGTTCATTTAACTATTATCCCTCACATATGCAAAGCACAATTTACATACATTCAGATCCTATTGAATTTTGTGATATGAAAATAAAAAGGTTTGACTTACCAACTAGAATATGGCGTTTTTTCTGCACCTCACTGAGCAGCAGTTCAACCTCCTGGAATGTGAAACGTGACTTTCTTTTCTTGAAGCGCATTAAAGCACCTCCTGGCCCTCTGTAAGGGTATGGCATGAATTCCGACATCCTTCTTCCTCCGCTCTTCAAAACTAATCACAACCAAATCAAACAGGGCTTCTAGATTTCATCCATCAGAAGGCTTGATGAATTATATGGCTGAAATAATAAAAGATACAAATTGAAATTCAAAATTGAAATTCATCCAGAAGCTTTCAACATCATTTAACTTCAACCTACCTAGCAAAGAAGAAAACGAATGTGACACACTGATTAAATACAACTAACCTGTTCTTACTTCCTCACAAACTGACAAAAGATCTTAATATTTAACTTCTTAATGTGGAGTTAAGATATTAATTTTATTTAAATATTCTATATATTTTAATATTTTCCTTTAATTATATATATATATATATATATATATATGTGTGTGTGTGTGTGTATGTTAATTGTGTTGTACAATAAACTTACTGTCCCTCTGATTTATTATGGTCATGTGATGAATGTTGCTTCTGTTCTGCGCTTTAAAAGGACAGAACAGGCACAGACAGAGATTATTTGGGCAAAGCACAGAATCATATTTTTCTAGGATCCTTTTACTTTAAATTAACTGTTACAACTAATTGCGGCGTGATCTCACACCGCCTCGCCAGTGTGCCCATGCTTCCTGCTTCTTTGTTGTTTTCCTGCCTAATCGTCAGAGAGCGATAGGAACACAGAGAAACGAGCGAACGCCATCACGGACATACAGCATCTATCTCGAGCGTTCAAATCTGCCATTTCTCAAAAATCTCGCGTACAGTATTCAATCGAACGCGTAAAGATAGATTCAGATATCGTAATAAGCAAATATTCCACCAGGAAACGCAAACAGATTTGTATTTTGTTTGTCGTTAGCCTGCCGTAGAAAAATGGACTACGCACGCATATCGTAGACGCATTTACGAACGAATTTTGAGTCAAATCGAAACTGCGCACATCTGAACGGCGATAAACGTTATTGCTATTGATATTAGCGATATATTGAGTGGTAATTACCTACAGTGCGGCCGAATGCGTCCTAGGATTTGTCGGTGTAGTCTTGCCCGATAAACTTCGTAGGCAGTGATCCCCTGCGTCGCGCAGACTCAGCTCTACGTGTTTTTCCCCCTCCACAACGATAGTTCGCCAACATTCTATAGTAATCCTTCCCTATGCCTGTGTGGAAGCAGTTCTAACTACATGCAAACCCTGTGGCCCAGTATAAACATGGAAATGTTCAACTTGCAATTAAATAAAAGTAAATTTAAGTCGCCTTTTATTCACATACATGATTAATATATCACGTAAAATATTTGTGGATTTTGTTCGCGTTTTTTTCCCAGTCTAACAAGCTATTTTGTGGTGTTTGGAAACTTTCAAAGCTACAGTCCCAATAGTTATAAAAAATAATAATAAAAAATAATGTAAAAAAAAAAAAAAAAGTGATTTCCTGGTCTGAAATTTGTACAATTTTAAAAGACATGGACATTTTAAAAATGCATTTTTTTTTTTCTGGTTATGCTCAGCTGTAAAATATTCGGCTAGATAGATAATAA